AGAATACCCACTCCTACTAATATTCAACATGCTGTTGGATATTCTAGCAACTATAATACATCAAGAAAAGGAAATAAAAGTCACACAACTCAAAGGATAATCATCCTTATTTAAAGATGATGTAAGTATATATACCAAGTTAGGCACAGTGGTGCATGCCTGAGTCCCAGCTACTTGGGAGGTTAAGGCAGGAGAACTGTTTGAGTCCTGGAGCTTAAGGCCAGCCTGGACAACACAACAGGACCTCATCTCAAAAGAAAACCTCAAATAATCTACAAAAAGATGAGCTAATGGTGACAGGATACACATAAATGTTAAAAAATCAGATGTATTTCTACATTGTAAAGATATTTCTAAATGTAATTCTCTATGTTCTATAACACTGACAATAAAATTGGATGTACAATGCCATCTACAATCACTCTTAAAAAACAAAATATTTCGGTGAAAGGACATCTTTGTTGAAAATTATTTAACACAGTGAACACAATCAAAGATCTAAATGAAATGGAGAAACATACAATGTTCATAGGCAAAAAAAAAAACTCAAAGATGTCAATTTTCCTCAAACCAATATGCAGACAAAATTTCTATTAAGTTCTCAAAAAGATTTCTGTATCCTATTTGGTTCGTTATTCCAAAGCTTAAGTAGAAAAACAAAATAACCAGAAGGAATAAAAACAATTTTGAAAAAGAATGAAGTGACAGTAATCATTCTACACAAAGATTAATTATGCAGCTGGGCATGGTGGCACATGCCTATAATCCCAGCTGCTGACAAGGCTGAGGCAGGAGGATCACAAACTCAAAACCAGCCTCAGCAATGTTAAGTGAGGCCCTAAGCAACTCAGCAAGACCCTATCTCAAAATAAAAAATGTAAATAGGCTGGTGATATGACTCAGTGGTTTAACACTTAGGTTCAATCTCTGGTACCAAAAAAAAAAAAAAGATTATGCAAAAACCTGAACTTTATGTCTCACACTGTAAAGTTTAATATACACTGTACATACACTATACATTCCATACACTGTACATTCCAACAAAGTTTTGGCCCTTGCGCAGCTCTTAAAAGGTAATCTCTAAACTCTTGGAATATTCTGCCTAGTAAGTATGTCTTTGTGTACCTTGGAGGTCTTAAGTCACTCCATACAGTTTATGCTAATAATGGGATTTATGGAAGGTTCCTAAAAGCAACTGACATTAGCATGACTGTTTAATTTTAGAGCTGGTGACCAAGGTCATGGATGCAGATAGTCAACCATGCCCTATATAACCAACCTACCAAACAAACAAACAAAACAAACTCTGGACACAAAGACTGAGTGAATCTATCTGGTCAGCAATACTCCACATGTGTCATCCACATCATTGCTGGAAGAATTAAACACTGTCCACATAACTCCACAATGAGAAGCTACTTAGAGCCACAAGTGTAACAATTTTTCTGTTTTGATTTCTTTTAGCAAATTAGTTGAGTATAAAGAGGACTTACAGATTCTTAAACACACACACACACTTAAAATGAATCATGGACTTAAATACAAAACATTAAATGATCAAACACAAGAAAAAATGAGAAAACTGTCAACTTAAGAAAAAATGAGAAAACCTTCAAGAACTAGGATTAGGGAAAGAGTTCTTAAATTTGACATTAAAAAACATAATCCCTTAAGACGACAAAATTGGTAAACTGGACTTCAAATTTTAAAACTTGTACTCTGAAAAAGATACTGTTAAGAAGATAAAAGACAAATTATGCAATGGAAGAAAAAATCACAAATAATACATCCAACAAGTGATTAGCATTTAAAATAAAGAACCTCAAAAAAAAAATTCAAGCTGGCATTTAAGTACCTTGGATGGAAGGCATTATTCAATCCTAAACAAGCAAAAAGCTGAACAAACTATAAAGGGAACAAGTCTTTTTAGATCTCAAAAAGAATTGAGGTCACAAGGCAAAATGCTCCCAAATAAAAACAACAGGTAAGCACAGAATCACAACTTATTGCAGGAAAAAACACTCACGATGAAGCCTACATGGAAACCAGGACCTGATAATAAAACCTAAATTGTAACTGACAAATTGCTGGAGTTCAGTGTGGACAACTCTGAGAAATAAAAATTCCAACGTAACCCTATCACAGGAAGACCACCACACTTGTGAGATTTTACTATCTGGAGTTTGATCTGGTTCTCACAGTGAATATCAGAGAAAAATCCCTTCATGCTTCCAACAGGGGATGGAGAAAGGAACCATTTTGAAATACAGCAGAGAGTTTCATTCTTCTTATGAGGATCTGCTATTCCCACTCAAAATGATGAAAATTTGCAAAATTAAAAATTTTTAAAAATAAATCCTGAGAAGCACTTACAAAGATCACAGCCCAGGGCACAGACTTACCAAAACTCTGAAACCTAATCATAAAACTATAAAACATTTCTCTCCTCATACCTTACTACCATTACATTGCCAAAGAATCATTTACCATAGTTCATATTACCCAGCATGTTATGATACCTTGCAAAAATACAAATAAAAAAGAAAAATAAATAATAAGACATACTACAAGGCAAAACATATAGTTTGAAGAAACAAACTAGACTGAGATATGGCAAGGATATTGACCCAGTAGTTTAAAACAACTATGATTAATATGCAAAGCACTCTTATGGGCAAAGTAAATAGCATGCAAGAATAAAGAAAGAATCAAAAAGACTCTAATACAAATGAAGATGCCTTTGATGGGCTCAGTAGTAGAATAGGACCAGCTAAGCAAAGAATCTCTGAGCTTGACAATATGTGGACAGAAACTTCTAAAATTAAAAACAGAGAAAAAAAACTTAAAAATGTAACAGATACCCAAGAAGTATGGCACAACTACACCCTTTACAAAAAAAAAAAAAAAAACTCAGACATAAAACAACACAAAACTAGAAAACTCACAGTAAAAATTTAATTGACTTTGTCTATAAAAATTACATTTTAGATCACATCCTTGAGACATGTTCCACAAAAGAAATAATTAATAAGCTGAATTTCATTAAAATTAAAACCTTCTGCTGGGCAAAAGACAATGGACAATGGCAAGAATATGAGAAGACAAGCCACAGACTAGGAGAAAATGTTTGCAAAAGATACATTTGATGAAGGACTGTTAACCAAAATGGAAAAAGAACCCTTAAAACTTAGTAAGAAAACAAACAATACAATTTAAAAATGGGCTAAAGACCTTAAAAGATGCCTCACTTTAACAGATATAGAGATGACAAATAAGCAGATAAAGTGTTCCACATAATGTACCAGTAAAATTCAAATTAAAATAATAAAATTCTACTGTACAACTATGAGAAAAGAAAAAATCCAGAAAATTAAAACACCAAACGCTGGGTAGGATGTGAAGCAACAGAATTCTCATTTATTGCTAGTGGAAATGCAAAATAACACAGCCACTTTGAAAGATAGTTTGGCAGTTTCTTACAGAATTAAACATACTCCTACTGATGCAGCAATCCCGCTCCTTGGTATTGACCCAAAGAAGCTGAAAACTGATATTTACACAAAAATATGTATATGGGTATTTATAGCAGCTTTACTCATAAGTGCCAAAAGCATATTACTATATGAATGAAGCAATCTGAAAAAGCTATATTATACAATTTCAACTATGTAACATTCTGGAGAAAGAAAAACTATAGAGACAAACAAACAACAACAACAAAAACAGTGACTACTAGGGTGAGGCAGGGGACAAAAGATGAAGGCAGAGTATAGAAGATGCTTAAGGCAGTGAAACTATTCTGTATTACATACGATAGTGGACACATGTTTTTATAAACTTGTCCAAACTCAGAGAACATACACCAAGAGTAAACTGTTAACTACAGATTCTTCAGATATCAATGTAAGTTCATCAATTTAATAAATGTACCACTCTGGTGGGAGATGCTGATATTTGGGGAGGCTGTACCTGTGTGAAGATGGGAATACATAGAGAAAATCTGTACCTTCAATAAATTTTTCTACTGCTCTAAAAATAAGTCTATTTTTTAAAAAATGATATCTCACTCCACAATGATATATCACTATATTCCTACGAGAATGGCTAAAATTTGAAAAATGTCAAATTCTAGAAAGGATATAGAGAAAACTGGATCATTGATATATATACATTATTGATGAAAATGATAGTGAAAATAATGTGATTGGTAATTTTGAAACTAAACCTACAACTACTACAGAAACCAATAACTGCACTTCTGAGCATTAACCACAGAGAAAAGACCTGTTTTATAACAAAACCTCTATGTACAATGTTTACAGCTTTTTCATAACAGTCCAAAACTGGAAACAACTCAGTTTTTCAATGGGTTAATAATTAAAGTGTAGTCTCTCTAATACCACCCCCACCATTGGTAAATATTACTCATCAATAAAAAGGAATGAACTATTGATACACACAACAACCTAGATAAATCTCCAGAGAAAACGGCCAATTCCAAAAGGTTATTGCTATGTGTATGATTCCAACTACATACAGCCTTCTTGAAATTACAAAATTATAAATGGAAAATTGGTTATTGCTTTCTAAGAGTTAAATGAGAATGGAGTGGGTAGAGAGAGAAGTGATTGTAGGCAACATTTGGTATATGGAAACATTCTGTATCTTGATTGTATCCGTGTCATTATCCTGGTTGTGATACTATAACATCTTGTAAGATATTCCCTGGTGAAAAATGGAGAATGGATACATGGAATCTCTATATTATTTCTTAAAACTCATGTAATCCTACAATTATATAAGAATAAAATGTTAAAAAAAGGAAGAAAAATGTGCAATATGACAAGACAGACGATTTAACTTGATATACAGCAACAATGAGTATTATTAAACACATACTATTATTTTAGTTTGGAACAATAAGATATATCCCTTGAATAGTCGCAATTCACAACCAATCTCCACAAATTCATATCTAAATACTAATAATTTTAGCTTACCTTCCACACTGTCAGAACAGGAAGTTCCAATGCCAGTGTCTCCACTGTCAGAAGCTATACTGTGTCTCCTGATATGGTTATTTCGATGGTTAGATGGAACAGTTGTGGCCTGCCACAATGATTCATTACCAGGTAACCATGCTGATGAATAATAATCTGGGCCTATAAAGGAAAAAATGCATAATTAACACATGTAATATCATGTCTGAAGAGATAGCAGTTTTGTTTTACTTTGCAAAAAAATACACATGGGATAAAATAGGGCTTTTTCTACTCAAAATAAAAATAATCAATGAGCTCTAAATTTGCCAGGAAAACTTTACATATCACACATATATCAATTCAATGCTAATTCTGCAGTTTCCTCTGGTTGAATAACTCTGTATTCTACTGGGTATTGAATTTTTTTTTTTTTTTTTTTTTTTTTTTTTGGTACCAGGAATTGATTCCAGGGGCACTTAGCCATATATCCCCAGCCCGTTACTCTGTTTATTTTAAGACAGGGTCACACTAAGTTGCTTAGGGCCTTACTAAATTGCTGAGAATGGCTTTGAACTTGGGTTCCTCCTGTCTCAGTCTCCTGAGCTGCTGGATTACAGGCATGTGCTACCACACACCTCGCCTATGTATTGAACTTTTAACCATGTACAGATATCTTTTAAAAATGTTAAATCTATCTATATCCAGGTACAGAACTTTTAAACATGTAAACATGTATAGTTGTCCTATTAAAAATGTTAAATCTATCTTCAAATGTCAGCCCTCTGATCAGGAATTATCGTAAGACATCTGTGATTCCATATACAGGCATTAGCTGTGAAATTGGAGTTCGGGGAAAGTCTAATTAATCATATTACATGACATTAAAAGTAAGAATGTGCTCATCATGGAAGATAAAAAGTAAATTTTTTCCTACTATAACATAATCACTTAAAATTTTAAATTATTTTGTAACCCTTTAAATTGACTTTATTTATCTTTTGCTAAAAGATTAACAGCACAGTATTTTCCTACTTATCTCAATTTGTCTTTTTGAATTACACTGAATCTCTATTTTGTTAGCTAATTTATGTCTTTTCAAAGTTTATTTTCATTTGTACATTTTTTACTTTTATTTACCATTTTTCTGTTTTACCCATTCTTCTATTTACTTCATTATTCTACTGTCTTCTATAATACTACTCAAAGCAGTGCCAGTACAAACAAGTTATGTACAGAACTAAGCAATGTGTCGAAATCCCAGTGATTCAGGAGGCTGACAGGAAGATCATAAGTTCAAGGCCAGCCTAGGCAATTTATTGAGACCCCCAGCAACTCGTGGAAACCCTGCCTCAAAATAAAAAGGATTATAGATTGTAGTTCAGTTAAGCACCCAGGGGTTCAATCCCTAGAAAAGAAAGAAGACAGAAAGAGGGTGGGGAGGGGAGGGATAAGAAAATAAGGAGCAAGTACACAGAAGTCTTTTTTTTGTTGTTTTTTTTTAATAATAATTAGAACAATTTAAAATCTGTTGGATTTAATATAAATGTTGTAGAAGCACCTATCTTTGCTGATACCTAACACAGTAATTCTCAAATTGGAGCTACAGACTTACTCCAGGAACTTAACAAGTTCTCTATAAGAATGTTAGGTTTTCATTTCAATGATAATCCTTAAAAATCCTAATAAACACATTATACATTATTTGAACAGCCACCTTTAAAATGAATAATAATCTGGGCATAATTTCTACACTGCTTTATCTATATAGCTACCTTAAAACAGATTTGTTGTCACCTATCTTAATGCTCCCATTTGTGTTTTATGTTTTCAACTATACATAAAGAGCAAATGATATCACTCAGCACTTTTAATTTGAAATGAAAAAGTTTTACAGAATTATCAAGAAACATCCTATTGGAATTGGCACAGGGGCTGGGGATATAGCTCAGTTGGTAGAGTATTTGCCTTGCAAGTTCAAGGCCCTGGGTTCAATCACCAACACCACACACACACACACACACACACACACACACAAACACACACACACAAAAAAAAGAAAGAAACCGGCACAGAAAGAAGGCCTTCTAACAGTTTAAATATAAGGATCACAAAATGACTATGTCGTGTGCATAAAATTAATTACACTATTTTTTACCACACTTTAAGAAATAGTCATCCTCTAATATTAAAATCAAAATACAGCCAGGCACAGTGTCATATGCCTGTAATCCCATTGGCTCCAGAGACTGAAGCAGGAGGTTCCTTAGTTCAAATCCAGCCTCAGCAATTTAGCAATTAAGCAACTCAATGAGACCCCGTCTCTAATAAAATACAAAACAGGGCTGGAGATGTGGCTCAGTGGAGTGCCCGAGTTCAATCCCCAGTATCAAAAAAAAAAAAAAAAAATCAAAATACACAAATTAAAAATAAAACTATACTTAGTGCTACTTCTATAATATCATTCCTGACAAAATATTTTAATAAAAATTATGCCATGTAAATATTATCTTGAAGTTTTATTCATATATAATTTATGAATTAAATTTGGGTTTTATAGGCTTATGAAGTACATGAGCAAAAAGCCACATACATTTAAAATAAGAACTCAAAATTGGCTGAAGAGACATTTACACCCACTTTATGTTCCAGAACAGCCACTTTACACTTTGTAAATTCTAGGCCTTTCTCAGAATGAGAAAATTTATCTGAGTAAATACTCCCACAAAATACCAAATGAAAGTAGTCTGTCACCAGATCTTTTCTAACTCTGATCTGGATGAGGCCTATGATCTGTACTAAAAAGCTTACTTCAATCAGGTAATATTTCATCTATATAAACTCATAGTCCTCTCTACAACATTTTCAAAAGAGATAACCAGGGGCTGGGGATATAACTCAGCTGGTACTGTGCTTGCCTCACATGCACAAGGCTGTGGGTTCAATCCCCAGCACCAGTAAAAAAGAGGAGAGACAGCCAGTCCACGTCTTTTCTCACAAGGGACATACCCAGCAATCGATATATATAGGCTACTAGACATATAAATGGAAAATAAAATTTAAAAAAATGTTCAGTCTCACTAATAATGAGGTAAGTAGAAAAGATGATACAGCTTTAGGATTTTTTTAAGTTACCACATTAATATCTGAAAGATGGGTGTCATCAAAGTGAGGAAAATGTTTATACACTTTTGTAGCCATATGAATTGGTTCAACCTTTCTAAAGATCAATCCAAAATTCGGTAACTAAATTTCAACATAAACAAAGTCTTCTACTAGGAATTTATCCTAAAAACATATTAAGTAAATATTAAAAAAAAAAAGTCCAAGGACATTCCCAACAGCCTAAAATAAATGCCCCAAAACTATCTACTTACCTTAAAACTGGTTGATAATGCTCAAGTGCTAAAAATTATTTTACCAACCTGTTTATTTGTTCTTTTTAGATATTCACATGACTGTAGGATGTACCAACCTATTTTTTTTTAACATGAAGGATATCCAAATATAAAAAATACATACAGGAAAAAAAAACTGGCATAGCTAAATATATAAGAAGATTCTATGGTTGGTGAAGAGGTTGTACATTTACATACACTGCTTGAAAAAAGGAGCTTTCAGGGAGCTCCACACCTAAATGTTAACACTTGACTACAAGGTTTTGCTAAAGGAACAAATATATTATGGAGACGTTCATTCCATCATTAGTTGTTATTATTATTACTGACAGTCTTCATTTTATCAGTTATGGGGGGACATGTTGAAAATTATGTATATTAATTTTCTGTTGAGAGCCACAGCCGAAGGGGCCCCAGCAAACTTTCAGACTGCCAGCTGATGATTGGCTCACAGCGGCCCCAGCAACTTCTAGCTGATTGGCTCCTCTGAGGTGATGCTCATTGAGCTGTTTCCCAGCCCTTTCAGACTGCCAGCTGATGACTGGCTCACAGCAGCCCCAGCAACTTCTAGCTGATTGGCTCCTCTGCAGTGATGCTCATTGGGCTGTTTCCCCGCCCTTTCAGACTACGGAGCTGCTCATTGGGGGAGGAGCTGCTCATTGGGGGACTTTTTTGGCTCCGCCCACACGACCCAGCCAATCGGCCTCAAGAGCAGGAGGAGTGGGGGAGGTTGACAGGCTTGTGGGAAGCCAGTGGTGGCAGTTGGGCTCTGAAGGTTTTTCCTGAGGAGCTGTTTTGTTTGGCCTGTGTGGTTCTAAAAATAAAGTTAGTTTCTTTTGACAAGTGGCTCCTGAATTGTGCCCAGCCAGACTGCTCAATTTTCCAATTATATCAACATTTATTCTGAGATTAGGAACCAGCTATAGATCAAAATATACAAATTAAATAGATTCCTAATAAAAAATTTTTACAAAACTACATAAAACCACTAAATAAAAATTCTTCTTTTTAGACAATGTAACTACTTTGAGCAATATAAAGGTATGCTATGCTTTAACCCACAACACACCTCCACCTCATTTATCTTTTTGGTATGAAACTCTTGGATAATGTCAAATATGCATCACAGTTAATTTTATGTGTCAACTTGAGTGAGCTATGGAGAGACCAGATATTTGGACAAACATTTATATAAGGGCTCTTGGATGAGATTAATGCTTAAATAGTAGAAGGGGTAAATCAGACTGCCCTTTATAATGCCATTGCTTCCTCCCATCAGTTGAAGGCCTGAGTAGAAAAAAAAAAAAGGCCTGCCTGATGTCCTATGAATTAAAACACTGGCTTTTCCTGCATTCAGACTTGAACTGAAACATAGGCTCTTCCTAAATGTTGAGCCTGCCAGTCTTCAGACTATAAATATACCATTGCAAAATCTAGGCCATCTTGCCAACTTTGTCCACTTTCATAACTCACAAGCTACATTCTTATAATTATATACTACTGATTCTGTTTCTCTAGAGAACCCTAAATACAACAATGGGGAACTAGGCAAATTCAAACTTTACCTGCAGACATAGAAGTGGGGATATAGTTTTCTCTGTAGAAGAGAACATTGGTCACAGTCCTCTATTTTCCTCATAGTAGCTCAATATTGTCTACTTCATACAACACCTACACAAAAGGTCTTCAAGTTTATGGGTACAAGCTCAATTATCTGTTATCTATCTCCCAATAAAAAGCTATATAAAAGAAATTACATAAAATAAATGGTCTACCACTGCATCC